CCGTCTTTGTTTGGCCGCAGCGATGCTGGGCTCGGGGCCGTGGTGCTTCCTGGCCCTGGGAACGCTCTGCCCCGGGGGGAGGGAAGATTTGGAGGCAGCGGAGGGATGCACCCAGGGGTGGGTGTTTTGCCAAGGGCTGGAAGATGGGGACCACGTTCCCACCCCAGGGCAAACCCCGCAGCTTCCCCTCGCACCAGGGCAGGAGGAAGGCCACCGGTGCCAGAGCACCGGAGGAGGGATGGGACTTTGCATGGATTAACAAATCCCACCTCGGGAGCCCTGTGCCAGTTTTCGGGCTGGCACCTGAACAGTCCCCTCCGTCAGAAAAGCCTCTCCCAGGAGCATCGCGCATCCCTCCTGCGGGCACGAGGGGAGCCAGCTCCATCCCTCCCCTCCCGCCCCAGCCCGAGTGTGTCATTACTAAAAAAAGCACAAATTTCTTAATTGTTTCCTGCTGGAGTTGAAAGGCAGCTCCGGGGCCCGAAATAGCACGCTGGGGGAAACGCAGCCGAATGAGAGCGCAGAAGGAGATTGCCCAGCCGGGCTGATGCCCGTGGCCCCTTTCGCCTGCCCCGAGGCCTGCCTGAAGTCCTGCCGCTCACCTTCCTCCTCTTCCTCCTCCCACCCGCCTTCATCTGTGCCTGTGGGCGATCGGGACTGCAGAGCTGGTGCCGGGGGCATCCCCTGGGCATCCTCAGCAGGGGATGCTCCTGGCTGGTGTCGCGATGCTCGTGGGGAATGAGTGCAGGGAAGCCTGTTCCTGCTAGGGACGTCACTCAGCATCTCCCTTTTGGAAGGATGCTTCCATACAACCCTTTTTTTGGGGGGGGATGGGGAATCCTTTAGGACCAGCATGACTGTTATTCTTGTCCGCCCCAGCTCTGCCACTGGACACAGCGTTGTCCCTCCTGGCTCCTGCCTGCCAGGAGACCTCTGTCCTTTCCCCCGTCTGCTCTCCTCCTGCCAGATGGCCCTGCCAAAACAAATCTCCAAATCCTTCCTGCGGTGCGGCCGAAGCCCTTGCTGTCCTGCAGCCCAGGTGCCGAGCATCCCTGTAACCCGCCTCCTCACTCCGTCCCCAGGTGCTGCCATCTGTACACATCCCCGGCATGGCCGGTCCCAGCGTGGCCACTGCAGCCCTTTGCCAGCTCCCTGAGGAGGCAGGGAGGGAGGCTGCTGGCTTCTCTGCCCCATGCCGAGCCCTTCCCGGGGGGTTTGCAGGCTCTGCCCTTCCAGCAGTCCCTGAGCTGGGATGGAGGGACCTCCCATATCCCCAGGTCAGCCTCGCATGCAGCGATTCCTGCCCATGGGCACACGGGAACCAGCACCCGTCCGGCTGCGAGGTGGGGGCCAGCGTGTGCCCTCCCGGCCACCCCCTGCTGCCGCCTGCCAGCCCTCGCCTCTGCGGTCTGCGCCTTCCACCAGGCACGTTATAAATCTTTCTGGTGGAAGATTGTTTTCTTTTATTTGCTATCCAAGGTAATTGGCGTCTGTTGATGTGTCTTGGGTCTCTATTTTTATCATCCGTTTGCACATTGACACATCTCCACTCCGCCTCATTATTCCAGCACGTTTCAGACCTATTGCTTTTTTATTATTATTTAGAGGCACGATGCAAAGGAAATGACTAATGAGGCCGTTCCCCCCGTGCCGCCTGTTGGCACCAGGCTCCTCGCTGGCGTGCTGGCCAGGCACCGCTCCTGGAGCGGGACACGCAGGGATGGGCACCAGACCCCCACCCCAGCGGGCTCCCCAGCATCCCGCATCCCATCGGAGCCTTTCCTTCGCTGAGGACATTTGTGATCTCAGCAACTATCCCTGAGCTGGAGACGTTCAGGGTTGCCAATGCTTGCCATTTTCTAGCTTTTGGGTTTTCTCTGGGGCCTGGTAAAGTTTCCCGGGGCCCTGGCATGGCTTTGATGATGTTTCCCCGTGTGGTTGAGAGGCAGCTGGTACCTGGGGGGGTGCCCGTGCCCACGGTCCGTGTGTCGGTGTCAGGGCCGCGTGGGTGCCTTCCCTGGACTGCCTCTGGGCAGATGTTTTGGCAGATGTTTCCAGGGATGTTTTGGCTCTGGGCAGGCGGGAGGGCAGGGCTGGATCCTCCCCAGGCATGAACCAGCCTGGCCCCTGCATGGTCCATAGCATCTTGCCGCGATGGTGCTGCACTACCCTGGCAGGGAGCAAAATGTCTTGGTGGGCTCCCTGGTTTTGGGGCTGGAGGGGGCCCAGCCCCTGGAGCCCCAGCCCCATCGACCACTCGGCTGGCCCAGGCTGCACCTCCAGTGCCGCCGCTTGCATGCGGGTAACACGTGGCAGCGCCCGGAGTGAGCGAGCCCTGGGGCATCCCCCCCAGGGCAGTCACTTATGTGAAGTGCAGAAGAGCATCCCTCACCAGGGGAAGCACTAAATTCCTGTCTCTTCTCTTCTCTTTTTCTCTTTTCTCCTGTGTTCTCTTGCAGTTACGGAGAAGGAGGTGCAGCAGTGGTGAGTGTCCGGCGCGGCGGCGCGGCGGTGAGCTGCCGGG